CAGCAGCATGAAGGAGGCTGGGGGATATAGGGCACCCATGGCAGATTAGGGGCCTGGCAGCAGCAATGGGAAGGCCCGTAATCTGCCAGCACCTATGTACACAAAATGGAACCACACCAGCAGTGTGAGGAGACCTGAAAGTGGCACATGGCAGAGTGTGGCGATGAGAGACAGCAGCAGCTGTGGAGGCCGTACAGGGACCCATGACACACTCTCTGGACCTGGCAGCAGCATGAGGAGGCGGTACAGGGGGCCCATGGCAGATTAGGGGCCTGGCAGCAGCAATGGGAGGCCCGTAATCTGCCAGCACCCTATGAAAAAATGGAACACACCAGCAGTGTGAGGAGACCTGAAAGTGGCACATGGCAGAGTGTGGCGATGGAGACAGCAGCAATGGGAGGCCGTACAGGGACCCATGAGACACTGTGGACCTGGCAGCAGCATGAGGAGGCGGTTCGGTATACGGGGGGCCCATGGCAGATTACGGGCCTGGCATGCAGCAGCAATGGGAGGCCCGTAATCTGCCAGCACCCTATGACAAAAAAATGGAAACCCACCAGCAGTGTGAGGAGACCTGAAAGTGGCACATTGGCAGAGTGTGGCGATGGAGACAGCAGCAATGGGAGGCCGTACAGGGACCCATGAGACACCTCTGTGGACCTGGCAGCTGGCAGCAGCAATGGGAGGCCCGTAATCTGCCAGACCCTATGACAAAAATGGAACCACCAGCAGTGTGAGGAGACCTGAAAGTGGCACATGGCAGAGTGTGGCGATGGAGACAGCAGCAATGGGAGGCCCGTACAGGGACCCATGAGACACTCTGGACCTGGCAGCAGCATGAGGAGGCGGTACGGGGGCCCATGGCAGATTACGGGCCTGGCAGCAGCAATGGGAGGCCCGTAATCTGCCAGCACCCTATGACAAAATGGAACACACCAGCAGTGTGAGGAGACCTGAAAGTGGCACATGGCAGAGTGTGGCGATGGAGACAGCAGCAATGGGAGGCCGTACATGGACCCATGAGACACTGTGGACCTGGCAGCAGCATGAGGAGGCGGTACAGGGGCCCATGGCAGATTACGGGCCTGGCAGCAGCAATGGGAGGCCCGTAATCTGCCAGCACCCTATGACAAAATGGAACACACCAGCAGTGTGAGGAGACCTGAAAGTGGCACATGGCAGAGTGTGGCGATGGAGACAGCAGCAATGGGAGGCCGTACAGGGACCCATGAGACACTCTGGACCTGGCAGCAGCGCATGAGGAGGCGGTACAGGGGCCCATGGCAGATTACGGGCCTGGCAGCAGCAATGGGAGGCCCGTAATCTGCCAGCACCCTATGACAAAAATGGAACACACCAGCAGTGTGAGGAGACCTGAAAGTGGCACATGGCAGAGTGTGGCGATGGAGACAGCAGCAATGGGAGGCCGTACAGGGACCCATGACACAGACTCTGGACCTGGCAGCAGCATGAGGAGGCGGTACGGGGGCCCATGGCAGATTACGGGCCTGGCAGCAGCAATGGGAGGCCCGTAATCTGCCAGCACCCTATGACAAAAAATGGACACACCAGCAGCAGTGTGAGGAGACCTGAAAGTGGCACATGGCAGAGTGTGGCGATGGAGACAGCAGCAATGGGAGGCCGTACAGGGGACCCATGAGGAGAGACTCTGGACCTGGCAGCAGCATGAGGAGGCGGTACAGGGGCCCATGCAGCAGATTGGGGGCCTGGCAGCAGCAATGGGAGGCCCGTAATCTGCCAGCACCCTATGACAAAAAATGGAACACACCAGCAGTGTGAGGAGACCTGAAAGTGGCACATGGCAGAGTGTGGCGATGGAGACAGCAGCAATGGGAGGCCGTACAGGGACCCATGACAGACTCTGGACCTGGCAGCAGCATGAGGAGGCGGTACAGGGGCCCATGGCAGATTACGGGCCTGGCAGCAGCAGCAATGGGGCCCGTAATCTGCCAGCACCCTATGACAAAATGGATGACAACACCAGCAGCAGTGTGAGGAGACCTGAAAGTGGCACATGGCAGAGTGTGGCGATGGAGACAGCAGCAATGGGAGGCCGTACAGGGACCCATGAGACACTCTGGACCTGGGCAGCAGCATGAGGAGGCGGTACGGGGGGCCATGGCAGATTACGGGCCTGGCAGCAGCAATGGGAGGCCCGTAATCTGCCAGCACCCTATGACAAAATGGAACACACACCAGCAGCAGTGTGAGGAGACCTGAAAGTGGCACATGGCAGAGTGTGGCGATGGAGACAGCAGCAATGGGAGGCCGTACAGGGACCCATGAGACACTCTGGACCTGGCAGCAGCATGAGGAGGCGGTACGGGGGCCCATGGCAGATTACGGGCCTGGCAGCAGCAGCAATGGGAGGCCCGTAATCTGCCAGCACCCTATGACAAAAAATGGAACACACCAGCAGTGTGAGGAGACCTGAAAGTGGCACATGGCAGGCAGTGTGGCGGATTTGGAGACAGCAGCAATGGTGAGGCCGTACAGGGACCCATGAGACTAATCCTGGCCTGGCATTTTCAGCATGAACGTGTACGGGGGTCCATGGCAGATTACGGGCCTGGCAGCAGCAATGGGAGGCCCGTAATTGCCAGCACCCTATGACAAAAATGGCACTAAACACAGTGTGAGGCTCCGAAAGTGCCACGCACTGGAGTGGGGCATGACAGCCTTCAGGGCAAATTCAGCTAGACCCATGGCCAAAGGTCAAGTTTCGTTTGCCCAGTAGTCAAGGGGATTGTCTACCCTCTGGCAGGGTGGTCCAAGGTGGACAGGCGTGCTGTCCAAGTAGGCCCAAGCCTGTTGTTTGAGGTCCTGCCCAGGTCCACCTGATGCTGCTGCTGCTGCTGCTGCGGCTGGTTAGTAGTTTCCTCACTGCGCTGGTGAAGAAAGCTACTCATCATCGACTGCAGACAGGCAGGCAGCCGCTGCTGGTGGAGCTGCCACTGCTCCTACCACCCCACCCCTCCCCTGCTGCCATGGCAGCGGAACGCGGGAACTGCGCGCACAGGGCCCACAGTGTCTGAGGATGGACGACGTTGGCGCAGAAAGGCAGAGACCAACTGACTACATAGGTGGTTTTTATAGTACGTTATTTTGGCCTCCTCTCTCAGCAGGTGTGAAAAAGGCCACCATTTTTGAACGGTAGCGAGGGTCCAACAAGGTGGACAGCCAAAAGTCATCCCTCTGTCTGATGGTTATTATTCGGGCTGTACTTACGCAAGCAAGCCGAGCATGCTATGGGCCATTTTGTGCCAAGGAATGCGAGGGACTCCCTGCCTCCATCTCCACAGCATACTGCCACGGTGCGTCTGGGTCCTCTGTCTCCTCCTCCTCCTCCTCTACCAGATGCTCCTGCTCCTCCTCCACTCCTGTCCGCTGAGTGGAAAAACCACCCATTTCACTCAATAATTCCTGAGCACCAAATGTCCTCCTCTACCTCCTCCTCTTCTTCCTGTCCTGCCCCCACAGGGGTCATGTGGCGTTGAGATCTGTGCGCCACGTCTACCGCACCCTGACCAGCCATTGTTAACAGCATTTGTTCCAGGACGTGCAACAGAGGAATGACGTCGTTCATCCCATAGTCCTGCCGACTCACGAATAGCGTGGCCTCCTCAAAGGGCCTGAGCAAGCGGCAGGTGTCACGCATGAGCTGCCAATGGCTGACATCGAAGTTACACAGGGGAGTACCTTTATCGCGCTTGTAACATCAGGAAATCGGTGATGGCCTTTCGCTGTTCGTAAAGGCGGTCTATCTAACATGTGTAGGGTTGAATTCCACCTTGTTGCAACGTCGCAGATCAGGCGATGCTGTGGAATTCCGTTTGCCTGCGCTGCAGCTCAAAGGAGGGTGTGCTTTGCGGTGTAGGAATGGCTGAAATGCATGCAAAGTTTACGTGACATTTTAAGGATGTCTTGCAGTGGGATGGTGGATTTTAGGAACCGCTTGACAACCAGATTGAACACGTGAGCCATGCATGGCGCATGGCACAACCTTCCTTGACGCAGAGCAGACACCATGTTCTTTCCGTTTTGTCGGTCAACATGGTTCCGATTTTCAGTTTGCGCGGAGACAGCCATCTGTCGATTTCTCTGTTCATTACACTCAGAAGTTCCTCCCCTGTGTGACTACGTTCGCCAAGGGCATACCAGGTGCAGCACAGCGTGACACCGTTGCGCCCCTGCACATGTGATATGCCGGTCGGGTAATGGGACTTGGCACGGGGTCTGGGGGTGGCGGCTGAGGACACGGCGGAAGAAAAGAGGTGGTAGAGGCGGACATCTTTGCTGGACCAAGGACGTGCAAACGTGGAGGCAAAAGCGGCGTGACCTGTCCAAGTTGCTGGTGCGGCTGTGCCGGCACCACGTTCACCCAGTGGGCCGTAAATGACATGTACTGTCCCTGACCGTAGTTACAGCTCCACACGTCGGCGCTGCCGCCGTGCACTTTGGCAGAGACCGACATGCTCAAAGACTGCCCACCATCTCTTCTACATGTGAATGCAGGGGCTGGCACTGCCTTTTTGGCGAAGAAGAAATGCCGGCTTGGCACTCTCCCACCGCGGCGCGGCTCGGCACAAGCCATCATTTCTCGGAAAGGTGCTGAGTCCACCACTTGGAAAGGGAGGGACTGCAGCACCAGCAACTTGGACAGGAGGACGTTCAGCTTTTTGCACCGTCGGGTGCGTGCTCGCAAACTGTTGTCTCTTGGAAACGGATTCCAAGAAAGACTGCTGACGGAATCCGTGAAGAGGAGTAGTAGCAGGAGAAGGAGCATCTGAACGAGCGGAAGATGCCAAACGAGCGACAACTCCCCTCAGCAGAGGTGTTGGAGCCTTGACTGGCTGATAGAGGGCGATTGACGTCGGGTGACGGAGCAAGTAACGGAGCGGGGTGATGGAGCGGGGGCTGGGGGGCAGGCAGAACCGCCGTATCTTTATCACGGTTTTCCCAGGCCACCAAATGGCGACGCTGCATATGCTGACGCAACGCTGTAGTCCCAACATGGGCCCCCTGGCCACGCTTGACTTTCTGGCCACATAGTCGACATACGGCTACGTTTACTTCCTCGGGCGGCTTGACGAAAAATTGCCACACCGCCGAGTAGGAAACTTTGCCCCCGCTACTCCTCACTGGCTGACTGCTACTTCCTCCGTGCACACCGGCACCACTACTGGCCGTGGTGGTAGGCTGCAGTGGAGCTGGTGCTCTACTCCGTGGCCGTTTGCCTCCCTGACACTGACACTGCTGCGACCCTGCTGCCTCCTGGGCAACCCACCGACTGTTTTGCTCGCTGCCAAGCTGGCACCCTCTTCTCCTGATGATGCGGAAGCAATAGCCTGATGACGACGAGGCTGCCAAGTGCGATCAGCCTCATCATCATCAATTAGGGTCTCCGCCTCACTACTAGCCCCCTCGGCTGCTGTGTGGGTCAGGAGACAGACCTGTCTCTAGACCGGCTACCGAGCCACTCTCCTCGCCAGTACTTCTTCGCCTGGCTGCTGAAGAGGCGGATGTCTCCCCCCGTTCCTGACCGCCCTCTGTTAGCTCTTCTTCCTCACTGTACAGTGGGGCTGAGCCCACAGCATGCGATACTTCGCTTGGTGAGGGAACACCAAAGGACAGGGGCAGGTAGAGGACACGTGATTTCAGTGGGCTTGCTCCGGGCCATGCCAACTAACTAACGGTTGTGTCTGACGTACCCACCGACCGTTGGCTGTAGGTGTCAGAGGTGACCTGGGAAGAGGAAGACGACCGAGCCAACCAATCGATGACGGCAGGGTTGTCGGTGGAGACACGACCGCTGGATGACACCGGGAGCACTGGCCTCTGGCTGCGACTAGTGCTGCCTCGACCCCTTCCTCTGCTGCCACGTCTGCTCGCTCCTAAAAACATTGCCTCCTCTGCCACTCCTCTGCATGTTGTCTGACATACTCTTTAATTCAACGATTCTGTGTCCCTGAGTAACAATTCTGTGTCCCTGAGTAACAATTCTGTGTCTGTCCCTGAGTAACAATTCT